CAGTCTCCACTGCTTTTTAAATGTCCTGGTTCCACAAAAATCTGTTTTACTTGGAGACTTGAGCATGACAGCCCATCCCTAGGATAAACGGATTTGTCCTTTTGACACCGAGGACATAATGACGAGAAACTAAACACATCCGGCATGAGGCCAGCGCCCCAAAGCAACTTCCCTGTGTTGGAAGATTCCCAAGGAATAGCGGGCAGAGACCCTTGGTGGCCACAGGAAGAGGTGGGTGGCAGGGGTATTGTGACATGCTCCAGGGAAGGGCAGCTTTCCCCTTGGCCAAGGGGGGCCCGGGCTCAGAGGTACAAGGGAGCTGGACCGGACATGGAGCCTGGGGCCCAGCCCGCTGGTGCTGCGCAGGATGGGGAAGCCCAGCCACAGCCACAGGCTCCCACCCAACCCCTCGAGGGCCGCGGCCAGGTGCTGCTGCTGAGCAACTCCTGGCCGCAGGAAGAGCGCTTCCTGACCCTGCAGGACATTCTGGAGCAGAGCCCGGCCCGTGGGCCCACGGGGCCCTCGTCCACCGAAGCCACCTGCGGCCACAGCAGCTCCAGCGACTGCTCCAGGCGGTGTCTCAAGCGCTCCAGCGACAGCTCTCTGAAGAACACCGACTGCCGGGCCGCCAAGTCCAGGCGCTTCAACCAGCAGCTGCCCCCTGGCAGGCTCAAGGCTGAGGACCTTTGCGAGTATGAGCGCGAGTCGGCTCCGGCTTCGGCCGAGACTCCCAGGTCCCGGGCGGCTGAGGATGCGGCGTCGGGATGCCAGGACGCTCCGCAGCCGCGGGAGCCGCCCGAGCCGAGCGCGCGGCTGCTCCTGGTGCTGTGCCGCGCGTCCGCGCTGCGCTCGCAGCTGCCGCGGCTGCAGCTGCTCCTGCAGCAGGTGCACGCCCGGCACCGCAGCCCGCCCGCCGCGCTGGTGGGGATCGTGGTGCTGCCGCGGCGCGAGGAGGAGGCCGAGGCGCGTCGCCGCATGGAGACCCTGCTCGGCAGCGCCTTCGCGCCGCACAGCCCGACTGTGGAGGTGCACACCGCCGTGTTCAGCCCCAGCCGCCCCGAGGGCACCCTGGACATCCAGCGCGCCGCCAACGGAGCACACGAGGTCTCCACGGGGGGCTGCGTCCCCTTCGTGGATCGAGAGACTCAGACAGAGGGTGAGGAGCCGGAAGGCGAGGGGTGGGAACGCGAGGCTGCCGCGGATATCCCAGGGCTTTGGGGAGAAACTTCAATACAGAGGGAGGCGGGTGTGGTTCAGTTGGTTGGAGCGTCGTCCAGTACGACAAATACGGAGGGAGGCCTGTGCCTTGGCCCTGCTGGTCCTGGTACTGGACAGGTCCCTAATGTGATGGTCCCTCTCCTGGCGCTTCCACTGACACCGTTTGGGTGAAGATGAGCTAGATTTCTGTCCCCAGGGGTGCTCACTGGGATAATTTGGGGTCACACGGGTTCGAATTCACTTGATTTGTTGGTACATTTCCCAGCCAGGCACCCGACCCCTTGCTCACTACTGGGACTCAGCCCATGTAAAGCACAGATTTGGGAGCTTGCAGGCCCCAGACCCGTCCCCTCCTCTCCACTTCCACTTGTTCCTTGCTTGGTCCTTCCGTCTCCTCCTCCAAGGGAACCACAGTTGCAACCAAAGCATGCCTGGGTGAGCCAGGCGCTGCGCTAAGGATTCTCACCTCTGACAGCAGCCCTCTCCGGAAGGTGCTGCTTTGCAGTAGCCGCACAGCCCCTGAGACCCTATCTAGGAATCCGCGTCTGCGGCCCCCGAGGGTTAACCTGTGGGTCTGAGGGCCCAGGGCAGTGGGCTCTTAAGTGAGACCAAGTGCCTTCTGTCTCTGTCTCCAGAAGCCCCCTGGGGCAGCAGTGGGGCAGAAGGAAGTGCTCTGGGCAGGGCATCCAAAGCCAGGTTCCTCAAGGCTCTCCTGCTGGAGGACAAAGCTAGTTGCCCCCTCTGTGAGCTGCTGCCCTCCTGACAGAGGGGACTAAGACCAGTTGCTGCCTGAGGTATCATCCAGTTCTAAGGCGTTAGCCTCAGCACAGATGTTGGCATGCTTGTTCTGGGTGCCCCGGATCCACCCAGAGGGCCAGCACCCCTGGGCTGACGACCAACTCTGCAGGCCCTCAGACTCATTCTTCTGACTCTCCCAAATAGTCCACGAGATTTTCCCGCAGCTGCCATGCCTGGTTAGGAAAGCCCTTGGCTATGGATTGTTCCCACTGTGGTCTTCAGCCAAGACCAGAAAACCCAGACCACCTTTGAAAACTACCCCTTAATGATGCAGTCTTGAGGTGCCTTGTCCCCCATCACCCACACCCACCCTGTGGTCACCAGTTTCCTGCTTTCTTTGTCTGCTTTCTACTCTCACCTTCAAGCAGCTTACATTAAGCCCTTTCCCTGGACTTTGGCCCTTCGAGGTCTCCACAGTCTGGGAGTGTGGACTTTAAGACAAGGGTAGCAGCCATCCTGACACCCGGCAGAAAGTGATCCAAGACCTGGACTCCGAGAGGGAGACATGGCTTCCAGTTGGAGATCTTGAGAAATGCTTTATGAGTGGATGGGTCCACTTCAGATGGATCTGAATGATGGGAAGAGAGAGGGATGGGACAGAGTGGGAAGGGCTTCCACAAATACAGGGAAGTGAGGCACATTCACCAGACTTCTGGTGCTTGTGGCTGGCTAGAGCGAGCCTTCTAACCCAATCTATTACTCCACAAGTGCCCTCCCCTGCAACTTGGGGCCACCCTTATTAAAGAACCCCACATATTTCCTCCACTGCTATGGAAAAACTCCCACTCCTCCCAAAGCCTGACCCTCTGTGTTTCTCCCATTCCTCTCCTTGGGAACCAAGGCTCTGTTTTCATGTCTTTTTTGGTTCCTTGGTGTGAAATGAAATGCTTCTTTCATTCCTACCAAGACATTTTTGCACCTATTTAATGCATTTAAACAAGTGGTTCTCACCCAAGGGCAATTTTCTCTCTCTCTCTCTCTCTCTCTCTCTCTCTCTCTCTCTCTCACACACACACACACACACACACACACACACACCGACATTTACCAATGTGTGTAGATATTTTGCTTTCACTTGGAAGGAGCAGTAGTTGCTACCAGCAGCTCATGGGCAGAGACCAGGGACACTGCTAAACTGTCTGCAATGCACAGGACAGCCCCACACAAAGACTTTTCTGGCCCAAATGTCAATAGGGCTGATTTAAACCAGGTTGAGCCCTGGCCTGTGTAGCTCAGGGCACATGCCAGGTTGCGGGCTCAATCCCAAGTAGGAGGCATGTAGAAGGCAAGTGATTAATGTTTCTCTCTCCCTCTCCCTTCCTCATATTTAAAAAAAACAAACAAAAAAACCCATCAAGTTGAGGCCCTCAGTCAAAAGCCCATCAGTGCCTGAAAATTGAGTTTTACAGAGATAAATGCCTTAGTGGGTGTGACCTGTCTGCCGGACCCAGGCAGGATTCCTGACCCTGGGTCCCTGACTGGGTTCCAGTCTCTCTGATTCTGAAGTGAATCCCCCGAGGGAGCCATTGCTCTTGACTTTAGGAACTTACCGCCTTCTTTCTTGTAGCCTCGCTGGCTCCCTGAATCTCCTCACGCCCAGGCTCAATCAAATTCAACCCAACTTTATTGATCTGCGCTTCCCTTCACTTCTCATCCTTCGTGCCTTTTTTTCCCCTTCAATCCTCTCACTCAAGGGATTGACTTTAAGGCCTGTATAATTACTGACTCCCTGTTGCCTTCTGGAGTCAGGAAAAGAGAGATCTCTGGAGGGGAATTTAGCCCCTTCGATGCCCCTCCACTGTGTGACTTTGGAATGGCAGTTTAACCTTGAACCTCAGTTTCCCCTCTGCAGAAAGAGAATTAACAAGGTCTTTTCAGGTTCTCTCTAAAATATTTCCCGTCATTTCATAGTTCATATCGGATCTGGCCTTGCATGGGGATTCTTCCTCCATAGGTCTAACCTAAACCTTCTCCTGGGGCAAGAGTATCACCCCAGACTCAAGGGGTTGACAGTAGACTACTCACCACCTCATGATGCATCAATGGCAGAAGTAGTGTCTTCTAATGCAAACACATTTTCTGTTAGAGTCAACATGTGAAGCCTAAGGTTGTCTTTTTTTTAATGTTTTTTCTCTCTCCCATCCTAAAAGGAAAGTCACATTGTTAACTTTGAGAAGGATTCATAGTCTCCTAATTGACCCGCTGAGTTTGGGGTTTGAAAGGTAGCCTATTGTGGCTGGCGTGATGAGTTTGAGAAAAATGTGGTTTTCCAAACTGCCATTACGTTTGTAGGGGAAATTCTTTTGCCACATGCAAGGGTTCTTGCCAAAGTTGGATAACACCCCCTTTCCCCCAAGACCCTTCACACAGTCTGGGAGGGCAGGTTTTGGAAGAAGGGGGAAGCTACTCTATGAAAATAATCTGGGGGAACAGCTGAGTTGGTAGGAGGCTGTGGGCTTTCCATGGACCCCCAATCTTCGGTAACATTACCTAAAACACAGTATGCATGGTGAAGTAGTTTTGGGGGTTTGGTTTTTGGTTTTCAGCTTTTGTTATGTGGAAACCAGTGGCAGAGTTGAGCGTCACAGCCAGGGGGTCTTAGAGTGAATGGATAGCTCTAAGCGGACCCGGGACACACCAGCGGAGAGGTGCCTGAAGGAGGCACTCCAGTCGCAGAATCCTAGGGATCCAGGTTGTCACAGGCCGCATGGCCAGGCTTAACCCAGGTTCTTGAGGGGTCTGACACCTGCCCTCTGCCCATCCCAGTGGCTAGGGAAGAGGGAGAACAGCAGGCTAGGCAGAGAAGACTGTCCCCAGGGCACTGCCATGGAGCCATCCTGGTGTTTGTGACCTCACAGGAGGGGTGTGGGTCCAGCCCAAGACCAGAGTGTTCCCCCAGGGCAGGGGCAAACGGCCCCTCCAGGAGGGAGCCGGGAGATTAGGCAGCTCCATGTAGGGCCACATTTAGGTGAGGAAGACCCACCATGAAGAAGGGCAAAAAGAAGAAGACAGAGTCCAAACGCCGTGGCTCCAACTCACGGCGCTGTAGCTCTGATTCCACCTCACGGCAGCCCAGCGTGCGGTCTACCCCACATCAGTCCAGCGTGGAGTCCACCCCACCGCAGAACAGCTTGTCATGCACCCCTCAGCAGCATAGGAGCTCTGAGTTTACCCCCCAGCAGCCCACCTCGGGGTGCACCCCCCAGCAGCAGCAACAGAGCTCTGAGCCCACCCCCCAGCAGCCCTGCTCAGAGTCCACCCCCCAGCAGCCCATCTCGGGGTCCACCCCACAGCAGCCCAATGTGGGCTCCGTTGCACAGAGGCCTGTGATCCGGGCCCTCCCAGCTCCCCAAACCAGCCAGTCAGCTCAGGGCCTGCTGACTCCGAACACTGGCACAAAAACATCCCATGGATCCAAGAAAGCAGGTGAGCAGATTTCTAGCTCAACAGGTCTAGCCTTTCTGCTGCTGAATCCCGGGTCACCCCAGAAGCTGGTTCTTACTGGGTAGTGACGTGTGGTTAACGTGTATTCTGGAACTGTGCTTGTGGCGTGTGAGGGTTTGGGGTTTTGTTTTTACCCAGGAGATCAGGGTTCCTGGGTGTTGCCATTTCTCACCATGTGGAGTCTCACTGAAGAAGGCAGCCCGCATCCATATTAACCTTTCACATGGCTCAGTGGTCATATGTGCTCATTAGGAATCAGGGTGCCATGTAGCTGCTCAAAAATAAAAACCAAGGATGCATTGATATTATGCAGTTTAGGACAAGGGAGTGGTCATATTGCTTCACTCTGTCCTCGTCAGACAATCTCCATTTGCTGTAACAGATACCTACCATCTAATCCAAAGAGGAAAGTCCAGGCTGACGGTGGATGAGACAAGTAGGGGGAGGCGAGCGCCACTTGGTGTTTGAGATGTGGTGGAAGGGTTTGGAGGAAATTTGTCAGGTGGAAGATGTGAATAGACTTTTTCCATGTTGTCCTCAGTTGTTTGACTAAGAACCCATGGATAGAGTTCCCAGTAAAATGCAGGCCAACAAATGATTTTAAAATTTTTTTAGTATAGGTGTGTCCCAAATATTGCATGGGCATCGTGCGTTTTTACTTGCTAAATCTGGCAACCTTACCGAGGGAAGACAGAGGCGGATTTCTCTCCTCAACATTAGAAAACTCCAACAATTAGCTCTCTCTGACAAAGGAATGGCCGTCTGGGAAAAGTGGCCCCCCTCTTCTTGTTAGCCAGGGTCTGAGTGAACATTGGATTGTAGAGGAAATTCAAGTGGCATTCAGGAGGTGGGCTGGTTAAAACTACTGCTAATGATAATGGTAATAGCTAACCAACTGTGTACCCAGCATTCAGCTCAGCCATCTATGTTAATTTTCTCATTTAACAACTCTATAAAGAACATACTAGTATCATCTCATGTTATAGATGAGGAAACTGAGGCCCAAAGAAATCAAGCAGCTCACTCTCAAGCAGGCACTAGAAGCCCTGAGCGGGGAACTTCAGTCTATTCTGACTCCAGAATTCTCGCTGTTCACTGCAGCCCTAACATTCTGATCCCCCGAGGTCTGGTGGTCTCCCCTGGAGGAAGCACATCCTTCTCTGAGCTCCTGGATCCGTGAGCCAGAGCCCATGGCTCTGTGGTCCTGACCAGGCCACACTCCCCAGGCCACAGCATATCCCTCTGAGATAATGTGGGCATAAATAAGAGATATGTATATACCCAAGGTATCTCTGTGACATATTCCTGAGGCTAGTAATCAATCCGTTCTTAACATCTGAAATGGTTTTGAGAGCTACACTACATATTGTGTATGTTATGATCATCAACCGCTGAACTAACATTTCTGGACTGTGGCCTTCAGAACGGATATCTGTAGAACGCAAAGCTTTACATCCCCAAATCTTTTAATGAATGCATGTGACTCACCCCCATGGGGAGTTCTGCTTATTGATGTGGCTTATTGCTCCAAAGAATTGTAAAAGAACTGCATTTCGTTACATTGGAAACCTGGTGCTGTTTATTGCACTTAGATAAATACAAATATGAGACTCTCATCTATCCACAATTTCATGTGCTACTGCTGGCCAATTTATCCAGGCACTGGTGGTGGCTCTTCAGTGCTTACAATGGCCACCTTCTCTTCTTCTATCAAAGGAATTTTCTCCCTTTGAGCCAGAGTAGGAAGGAATGTTGGCAATAAGGGATGAGGGCCTTTAAATAAAGGATGCCATAGTCTAACATCCAAACGTTTTATATGCAGAGAATATTGTAGCTCAATAAAAGACAAATCTTCCACTAGAATGACTATAATTTAAAAAAATGGACAATGACAAGTGTTGGTGAGGCTGTGGAGAAGTCAGAAGCATCAGACACTGCTGGAGGGAATGTAAAATGGTGCTGCTGCGGTGGAAAAGTCTGGCAATTCCTCGAAGGGTTAACCATGAAGTTACCATAAGACACAGCAATCCAACTCCTGGGTATATACCCAAGGGAATTAAAAACATGTTCTACCACTTCAAAGTTTATGGAAAATTAAGCCTTCATCTCCTAGCCAATTTTTCAATATTATTTTGTTGGTTGTAACGGATTCTTAGAAAGAGTTTTCCACACAAAAAAATTAAACTCCTGGTTTATGATGTAAAAAACAACAACAACATATGTCCTACACAAAACTTATACACAAATGTCCATAGCAGCATTACTCACAATAGCCAAAAAGAGACAACTCAATGTCCATCAGCTAATAAATGAATAAACAGTAGGTGGTACAGATGTACTATGAAATACTATTTGGCAATAAAAAGAGATGATGCACTGATACATGCTACAACACGGATGGGCCTCAAAAACATTAGGCTAAGTAAAAGAAGCCAATCCATTAAAAAAAGCCCACATGTTGTATGCTTCCATTTCTAAAATGTCTAGAATAGGCGAATCTATTGCCAGAACCTGGGAAGAGTGGAGAATAGGCAGTGACTGCTAATGGGTCCAGAGTTTCTTTTTTTTCTTCTTTTAAAATATATTTTATTGATTTTTTACAGAGAGGAAGGGAGAGGGATAGAGAGTTAGAAACATCGATGAGAGAGAAACATCAATCAGCTGCCTCCTGCACGCCCCGCACTGGAGATGTGCCCACAACCATGGTACATGCCCTTGACCGGAATCGAACCTGGGACCCTTCAGTCCGCAGGCTGATGCTCTATCCCCTGAGCCAAACTGGTCAGGGCGGGTCTGGAGTTTCTTAAGTGGAAAAGAAAATATTCTGGAATTATGTAGCAATGATGGTTGCACACCTTTGTTTATATACTAAAAACCACTGAACACGTTAAAGGGGTGAACTTTATGGTATGGGAATTATATGCCCATTTCAAAAAAAATGTTTAAACTAAAAACAGAAAAAAGATAACGTCTTGCCTTTAGAATCTCTTCCTTTTCCAGTCCAAAAAAAGCATCCATCATGGGCAGGTCTCAGCAGGAAGTGTGCTGAGTTTGCCAAGGTTGACCACTGTCCTCACGGAGCTTTGGCTGGAAGAATCCACAGTTCATCAGGAAGCCAGGACAGAGGTAGCTGCAAGGGGAGGAAATGAGGCAGAGGTCTTTTTAAACAGCAGAGGGCGCCATCTCTGAGTTCCGCTAGGATCCACTGCACAGGGGGACGGAAATGGAGATGAGTCTGGGAAAGCATTCCAAGGACTGTAAACTGGAGTGGCGGTTGCCTTCTGGATGAACCCGTGAGCCCCACAGAAACGGGACGTGGCAGCTCCAGGTGCAGGAATCGAGTGCCACCTCACGGCAGGGCAGTCACCTACTGCCACCACTTCCTATGAATTCTGTGGAGAGAGCCCTGGATCAAGAAATCCTGAATTGAGGCCCACTTCGTCAATCTACTTACTCTCCATTTGATCCTCGGTTTCCTCATTTGTAAACTGAGAATAACAACATTCCATTTCACAGGATTGTTCTGATAATTAAATACGATGGATAATGATGTGAAGCCATTGCATCATTATTTTTATTCCCAGGTAGCAGCGGTCTGAAATACAATAATTTCCCACGGTTTGTTTCTGTGTCTTCCAGGCTCTCCTCCGCCTCCTGCAGGCTGGTAGGTCCCTCATCTTTCTCTTTTTCTGTCCACCCAGGGCCTCCGACTCGCCCCTTCTGTTCCTGTACCACTTGCCCCGGCAGCTCTGCTTGCTGGCGTCGTCTGGGCCTGTGCCACAGCCGCATCTCCGATGTCCTTCTGCCTCGGGCCTGGCTGACCGTGTCAGGGAGAGGATTCCCAAACCTCCTCACCTTCTACAGGTTCTGGAGCTCATGGAGGGCTGGGCCCTCAGGACATACAGTCCCCAAGGGCCAGGCTCTCCCCCAGATCGTTTTGTAGTCTTGTGTTAATCCGCCTGGGAATCCTAGGCCAAAAGGAAAGCCTCTCCCTCCAGGTGGCCACAGCCTAAGGTTGGCACTGGCCCTTTCTGACCAGACCCATCCTTCCAGGGTGTCCCACCTGCACAGAGAGGTGCCGATTTTCTTCCTTCCCAGGAATTGCTTCTTCGAGGGCTTCGTTTCTCTTTTCCCGAAAGGCACCCGCCTTCCTCAGAGCTCACCCCCTCACAGCCCTTCAGAAATGCCTTGTCAGAGCTTTGGAATTAAATGCTCTGTTTGGCCATCGGCCTCCTTCTGTGGCCCACACCACAGCTGAGAGCTTTAGGTTCTTTACCTACATGTGAAGTTCCCCTGGAATTTAGTCACAAATACTGAGTGTAACTCATATGCCCCCTTGGTAATAGCAAGACCTCCACCCCATGCAGAGGGTCTCAGGCTGTTTCTAAGCAACCCCAACAGGGAACAGTGCCCCAAGGTTGGTCTGTCCATGGCAGAGCAGCCCCCCACCCCCAGCATCATCGGAAGCTCTGCCCTTCTTTGCCTCTTCCTAGAATCCACCAGGTGGAACCTTTTCCAGGGGTGCCAGGGCTGGGAAAGGGGCCTCTGCCCATCCCCAGCTCTGGGCCCAAAGCAGCTCCGCCTGTATCCAGGGTCTCACAGGTGTCCACAGGGGAAGTCTTCCACTTGACAATCTGATACTCCTGACCCAGGAACAGAGCCCACCTATCCCCCACTTTCCTCCTGCTCCTCTTCCCAGATCCCCTCTCCTGTCATCCTTGAAACAAACCTATAAAGAGAAACAAACAGATACCGAGGTGTGTTGGAAGAGCATGCCTAGAGCTAAAATATTCTATAACCTGGTAAGTCTCTGTCAAGGAAGGGCCTGTCCCCCACTCATTATTATTAACTGTCTTCCAGCACACTCAGTACTTCTGTCCATCTGGTGCCACGTTGTGCCATGTATTCATATTACTTTAATTTTTTAAAATAACTCTTTTTTGTTGAAAGTATTACATGTGTCCCCCACCACCACCACCATTGGCCCCCTCCGGCCGGCCCTGTCCCCGCTCCCCTCCCCCAGGCCTTCAGCACCCTATTGCCTGTGTCCATGAGTTATATATGCATATATGCATATAAGGTCTTTGGTTGATTACCTCCCATCCATCCATCCTCCCCCACCTTCTCATATCACTTTATTTTTTTTTTATTTTTGTTAATATATTTTATTGTTTTTTTACAGAGAGGAAGGGAGAGGGATAGAGAGCTAGAAACATCAATGAGAGAGAAACATCGATCAGCTGCCTCCTGCACACCCCCTACTGGGATATGCCCGCAACCAAGGTACATGCCCTTGACCGGAATCGAACCTGGTACCCTTGAGTCTGCAGGCCGACGCTCTATCCACTGAGCCAAACCGGTTAGGGCCTCATATCACTTTAAAACCAATAAGTAGGAAAAGCTAATCTGCACATGATGCCAGGTACTAGGAGGGAAACCAGAACAGGGAACTTTACCCTTAAAAATTGTACAGCCTGCATGGTAAGGTAAGACATGTCTATTGAGAAACTGAGGTGTGAGCCAGGTGATCTGTGTCCCATAGGAGACATTCGAAGAGCTTCAGGAAAAGAGAGTGTTCACTCCTGAACTGAGGTCCAGGCAGACTGCGTAGTGTCAATCACATCTGAGCGGAGTCTAAAAGGACCTTAGGATCTTCTATGGCTTATTTTAGAGGGAGAGCACTGGAGATGGAGGAAAAGGCAAAAGCAAGGCTCAGAATTAGGAATGTGAGGGGGAAGGGGCAGGGGTCCAGTTTGGTCAGAGTTAAGACAAATTCTGTTCAAATGTTTGGCACCGCTTCCGTAATCGTTCCGTTTCTCAGAGGAGTGGAATGTTGGCTCTTGGCTTGAAATACACACTCACGTTAAAGAACTGCTACTTGAATAGGATTTTTACCCAAATGGATATTACATCGTTGAAAGCCTTCCTCACAATTAGTATCATACTCATGTATTTTCCTTGCCTTCGTGGTGGGTGTAGTATGTGTTTCCTCAGGTGTCATATGTGTCCCCAAAATGGAGCTACCTGGTAGAACCTCCTTCGCAGGGTTGTCTTGATGTCCAAGGAGACCTGGGGTGTGAGGTGTTTAGCACAGTGCCTGGCACATGAGGGCCTTGACCACCTTTGTAGCTTGGCTCCCTGAATGTCCCGAGGAGCTGGTGTCCTGGGCCAGCCCATCCTCAGGTCCTGGGGTAGGTTTCATTAGAAGGAGTGGGAGAGTTGTGTCCCCTTGAGAGGAGGGTCGGTAGGGAGAAGTGGGTGTTCCCACAATCCTGAGGGAACCCCCCAATCTTCCCTTTCCCATAAAAAGGCACTAAAGCCCAACCTCCCCCAACCCATGGGCTTTCTACTTTGCTTTGCAGAGGACCTGCAAGGAAGCACACCAGTCATCGTAATTCCCGTGCTCCAGGCTCTCGGGACTGCGGCTGTGGCTCTGGGTGCCCTAGCAACTGCCTACTACGTCATTGAACTCCTGTGAACAAACCCCAGGCTCATGGTCCAGCAGGTGTGTGGAGCCCCTCGGTGCCCACTGCTCTTTGCAGAAGTGGCCCTCAGGCCCCCTGAGTTGCCAGCCCTCCGTGCAGGGCTGGTGGGTTTTCTGTTCCTTCTCTGAAGTGAGAAGGTTGTTACAGGTGGACCATGCCCCCCAGCCTCTCGTGAGGACTGAGTGAGTCCTCCCTGGACTCAGGGTGACCTGGCATGGCTCTCTCAAGCAGCCCTGCCAACGTTAGATCCATTATTAGGCCTGTCAAAACAGAGTTCCCCAACTCCCACTGACCTGGGTGGTTCCTCTAGTCACAGATACCAGACAGGAGCAGGTGAGGGCAGAGGTTCTTACCCATCTTAGGGCCTTTCCTTGGAACTTTCTTCCTGCCTAGGAAGCTTTTTCCCTTTCCCAACATTTCAAGTCCTACCTGTTCTTCATGGCCTAGCCTATTTCTTCCATAAAGCCTTCCTCCCCCACTGCACCTCCAGTGACTTCTCCAGCCTGGCCCATCCTGTGTGGTAGAGGATCACTGTGCGTGTTTGTGGCCTATCTCTACAAGCGTCCTGCAAGATCTTTGAGGGCAGAGAGCATGCCTCCCACAGCGTCTTCAATCCTCCCCTCTTCTAGGCAGGGCTCCCTAGAAGCAGAGCCTGAGACAGGGATGCGAGTGCACAGGATTTATTGAGAAAAAAAGGGAGGGAGGGAGGCAAGAGAGGTCAAAGGCAGGAGCAGAGCAAGAGCCAGGTCAGCTGAAGTCCAGCCTCAGCCTGATCCCACGTGGGCTCTCAAGCATGAATTACACCATAGAACTGGTCTCACCTTGAAGCAAGAGGGCAGGCTTTTTGTGCCCCTTTGTCATTCAGCCATTGGCAATAGGGGTGAGGGTGGGGAGTTCATATCTTTGTGGAAAAGAGCTCCCATTTGGCTGAGGACAAGCTTCTGGGAAAAGAGGCAGCTCTGAGTCCTTAGCAGCCAACATTCAAAACTCACAGGAACTAAATAAAGAATGCACCAGCCCAGAAAGGGCATCTGGGCAGGCACCAAGAGCACCCACATTGTCCCCATTGTCAAATCCAACCACAGTGAATGCCTCCTAAGTGATGATGGGGTGGGATGGGGGCAGTAAGGAGATAATGGCAGCCTTTCAACCACTCCTAGAACTCCGCCAGCCACAGGAGTGGACCTCTCTCCCCCCTCCTCCTCTCCCTCCTCCTCCTCTCCCCCCTCTTCTCCTCCCCCCTCCTCTCTCCCTCCTCCTCTCCCCCCTCCTCCTCTCCCACCTCCTCCTCCTCCTCTCTCTCTCTCTCTCTCCAGTCTTAATAATTAAGACTCCAGGTCTGCCAGTCCAAGAGTGATAGGATTCCTTTCTTTGTGACATACAGCATTCAAACCTGCTCCTCTCCAAAAACCTGCTCCTCCCCCAAAACCTGCTTCTCCCCCAAAACCTGCTCCTCCCCAAAAACCTGCTTCTCCCCAAAAACCTGCTCCTCCCCAAAAACCTGCTCCTCCCCAAAAACCTGCTTCTCCCCAAAAACCTGCTCCTCCCCAAAAACCTGCTTCTCCCCAAAAACCTGCTTCTCCCCAAAAACCTGCTCCTCTCCAAAAACCTGCTCCTCCCCAAAAACCTGCTTCTCCCCCAAAAC